ATGTGCCTGACATTCCTACGATAAAGCCAGTTGAAAAAGAAGACGAGATCATTTGGGCCTTGATCCTCTTTCATGGTCTGGGCTAGCTTTTTTGCTAGCCTTGAACCTGGAGCAGGCCCAGGAGGCTTCTGCAACAGCACAGGTCGGAACGATACATATCGTAGGACTTCGTCGAAGACCATATGACGGTAGCTGTCTTCAAATGATTCTTGTGATATGGTCAATGGACCCTGAGAGAAGTCAAATGACAGGTTGACATCTGGTTTGACATTAGGACTGCCCAAATATCTTTGGGTCGGTCAATACGTACTTTGAATATTCGCACCATAGAGGAACCTCGTTGCCGAGAGCTGGTCTCTGATATTCCGTTCGGGAGCACTTTCGAAGGTTGAGCGAAGGTAGTACAGTTTGATCTCTTGTTGAATACTGTCTGCATACAAATGAATTTCCGGAGACATGTCCGTCTTTGGTTCTTGCCTAGGCCACCATTAGTGAGAACTTGACAAAGTTCTGCAGGTAAGATACCTCTGATCACACTTCTCTAATGGCTGCTGCTTCCTTGCAGTGGTCTGATTTACCGGCAACTCGTCAAGCGCTCTTCTACCTCCGACTAGAGTCGACTGGTCTTCAATTTTTCCTGCCAGAATCTCCAAAGGGCTCTCTGCCTTTGCTTCCTGATGACCCACATGCGCTTTTTCCCGCGTGTAGCGGTGGTACTCGTACACGGACAAACCGGGCGGATCTATCGTGAACTGATCCAAAGCCGCATCTCCGCGTGCGATGAGTGCCTTCACAAGGCTCAGTTGTGAGGCAGACGACCGGTGATACTCTACTGCAAGATGCAAAGGGGTAAGACCATTCTTATCGCGCGCCGATAGGGTAGTGTTCGACGCCCCCTCAATAAGCTTCAAGGCATAGGAATGGTCCAGAAAGTGATGAATGGCAGCATGGATACAGTTCCGTCCGTTTTCAGAAGTCTGCCGCAGAAGAATGTCCATTTCCGCACCATTGACCTCCTTTAATATGGCGTCCACGAAGGCAAGGTTCCCGTATGCAATAGCAACATGCAGAGGGGTCTTTTCGTTGACGTCCTTATATTGCAAGAGATGTCCCTTTTTCCTCACCGCGAAGCGTATAGCAGTGCTGTGTGCCAGCCTGCTCGCCGCTATATGGAGGAAGGTCTGTCTATCTACACGGGTCCTCTCGTCCAGGACGTGAGAATAGTCGGCCAGGAACACAGCTCGAGAATTTCCGTTTCTTAGGTCTAAGGTCTTGTTGCAGATTTTGGTGATGATCTCGTCGAAGGTGGCCTGCACCTTGTCTTTTGGAGACGTCTGCACTGCGTAATTGATGGAGTCGTCAACGTCGTAATCCAAGTCAAGATCGGTTTTGTTGGCTGTTTCGGATGGTGTGGCTTCTCGGAAGATTTTCAGTGATTCTTTGAAGATCATGGTGTTGTCTAAACTTGTCTGGGTGATCTCGGGGCTGTATCATATGAGCTGGAAGTTGTACTCCGGGACCAAAGCGCTTCGGGTCCATCATTGTACCCTTATATAGTATAGATATAACTCTTCTCTTTTGGATCCGTTGGTCAGACCTTAGATAATGTGGAAGTCCCTCCTGCAAGACACGAGCGGCCCATATACCTGGCGCTTCTGAACGGCCAGTGAAATATCTCTATTGCTAGCTCTCATCTACACGGGCGGCTAGCGGCGAGAAGCCCTATCATCTCCGTGCCGCCTCGAAACTAGTAGCTTGTGAAGATTCCGCATTATTAAGTGCTTTTGTCCATCCAGAACGGGTCTTGATCAAATTTTCAGTAACCCTTGTATTATGCCATTGAAACGACGAGACGAATGGTAATGACTAGCCTGGAAGAAGAAAGTGTATACGAATCTGAGCATGCAGATTTTCCTTAACAGTTCCATTAGCGCCGGGATGCGGGAGGATGATGCTTAAGCAGCCACCAGGCGCCACAGTTAGCATTTCACGGCTTTTTATTCTTGTGGTTCATGGAGATGAGACACTCAGTTATGTGTCGCTCATTGGCCAGGCTAGGGCTGCGTAGGCGCGCGCATCAAACTACACCTTTACAGAAAACAAACCATGTTTATTGGTTCGCAGATAGAGATATTACCCGCACTATAGTTGTGTGATTCGCATCAACTGATGCACATAGAAAATCTATTGTTAGAAAGTTGGGGATAGGGGCGGGATTAACCGCATACACTCTACAGGCGGATTGAATATATGAGCAAGAACCCACCACTCTTCGTCCTCAAGCTTCCCAAACGGTAGGCAGGTTCTGCATGCAAATTATTTTCCGATACTGACTTTGTGAAAGGCTGAAGTTGCCGCTGCCTTAGCCAAATTGCTAAAAGAAAAGACGAAGGGAAGTTCCAGGCCAATGTCTCCATTCGGGCAAAGGCGGACTGGAAGACGCAACTTGAGTGGCTGGTGGGATCGACAAGAGCAGATATCCCGTTCTGTTTGACCCTACTTTGAGTCCCACTAGTGACAAGTACGATGATATGGAGTTGAAGATGGCTGATATTGATCTCAACGGCATCTCGGAGATTGTGGTAGAAAGCGGAAAGACCATGGCCTAGATATGGGAAGTCGCTGTGCGTTAAAATGCTTTTTCTGCTGATATATGCCATGTTCGGGATGTTAGTTGTCCATTATCCAATATACAATATTTCTTTGGCTTGCCTTTCCAGGTCATAACAAGCAGTCAAGGCTGGAATTGACGGAATATATACTTTTGAATATGTGGCTTGCAGCCATTCCGATATCCAAAGTGAATGCGCTTGGAAATTACCGCACTGCTGCTTGTCACATCTTGAGTCACAGTGCAATGAGGGTTATTACCAGGATATGTTTCTGGGCATCGGGTATGTGCAAATTTTTCACCAGTATCACCTGTATAGCTAAACGCGGATATAAAATAGACACGATGTCTCAGCTTCTACCAGAGTCAGACTATTTACCAGAGGCAGCAGTGATAACAGCTACAATTGAAACACCATGGAGAACCTACCAACAGAGATTCTCGAAATGATAGGGAAGTTCATTGCCTTAGACATAGATCAGCATTGCGAAAGGATACGGAGATCGACTTTGCTTGCTTTGACTCTGTGCTGTCAGAAATTCCACAAGATATTCGAACCATTACTCTATTACCATCTTGACCTGGGCTACGGCACCCCCCTGACGGACGCCCACATCCATCTCATTATTCGTCTCTGGAATCACCCCGAGGTGGCAGACTGGGTTCGCAGCGTAAAACTTCACTGGTTCTTAGACAAAGATATACCAGTGCATGACGCTAGTGACGAGGATATTGATGAATTTGCGAAGTTCGTGCCCAGAGCACTAAACAAGATACTCACGCCAGGTGAAGCGTTCACAGACGACTGGGAGGAATGCCTGCTCGAATTCGGGATGGAGGCTTGGTTAGGAGTCTTGTTTGTTGGCTTGACGCATCTGGAACGCATTGAATTTGAACTTGAAGACTCACATCTTTTCCTCTGCATTCTATATAAAGCTGCAGGGCGAGAGAAACCCTTTCATGAAACCCCACCATTTCCTTTCCTTCGAGAGGTCGTTGCTCACTGCCAACTTGATGAAGGAATTCACGAGGTTTTCCTCATTCCTTTTCTCTATTTCCCAAATGTCCAGTCTATCACAGGTTCTTCGATCTCGGCTGAATGTAGCCGTGATGAAGAGTGTCATCTCTACTCTCACGAACCACCCCTCTCAGCTGGTCCCATAAAACAGATTTCGTTGGGCGATGTCCGGAAGTGCACCGGAATGCTCAAGTGGCTTCGAGTTTGCAAAGAACTGGAACATTTCTCAATCGAGGCCTCACTTCACCCAGACTCAGAGGAGATTGATGAACGCTTTGATACTCGAAAACTTTATCAGGCTCTTCTTCCATTCAAAGATACCCTCAAACTTCTCAGCGTGACATATAACAAGCAATACAATACTTGGCTCGACATGAGCGGAGGGATCCCTGTTTGCGAGGATAACATCCCGTTTGAGTCCTTTCGAGAATTCTCTGCCCTTGAGCATTTGACTGTTCGGCATGCCCACCTCGTACCGATCTTTTCACACGCTGCTGTCAATAAACCCAGCATTGGTCGGCTTGTTGATAGGCTTCCGAGCTCCCTGCAAACTCTTTCTGTCCATGACGTTCTCCCCGATAATAGTGGTCTGCTGGCGGAACTCTTGATGGTTGCCCAGGATCGGGTTTTATTTCCTGACCTGAAGAGTTTGGAACTCAGGGACAGGCCTCTGATATGGCCTGCATCAAATGATGAAACAATACCGGATGGAACGACAGTGGGTGGGGGAGCAGCTGGATTGAATATGGTTCTCGTAGAAGAAGAAGCCTACAGAGAATATGAGGATACAGAAAGGTTGAAACGGGAATGTGAGGCTAGAGGCATCGACATGCGATGGGTCATGGAAGGTATGTCTGACAGTGAAGAAGAGGGTGAAGTACGTAATGCAGGACATTAAGCCACAGCTATCGTCGCTAAATGCACACCTGCCTAATAGAATCAGTTTGGTTCCTGTTTAATAGAATGGGCATAGAAGACTTGAAAAGTCATTTAATGTTATAGTTCGCAGTGGAGTCTCATAGGGTATTAAGAGTATTAAGAGTATTAAGAGTATTAAGAGTATTAAGAGTATTAAGAGTATTAAGAGTATTAAGAGTATTAAGAGTATTAAGAGTATTAAGAGTATTAAGAGTATTAAGAGTATTAAGAGTAATAAGAGTATTTTCTGCACCGGCCACCAGGCCGAAATGCTGCAATGCACATACTAGGAAAAATACATTAGTAAATTAGCAATAGTTGCCCTTTCGGCTGTAACATTCTCGATGATCGAGCTTTTCTCTGCAACCATACTATCCGTTTGTTGTGCATTTGCCAAATTTGACGGTTACAGATTCCCAATAACTGAATTAAGTAAACTGTGAATATCCATGCTCAATAATCGCAATGACCACAGTACCCGCATTCTTTATCGCAAGCTGTGAAGTCTTTGGGGGACTCGGAGCCATATCCATAGTCGTAAATCTCATGCTGCGGGTAATAACTGAGACTAGGACTCAACCATACCGAAGGCTCCTCATCAGGCTGTCTTAGTTAGCAGGTGTCATATAACAATTTAGGTGCATTACCTCTTCATTAAGAGCACTCTTGATCACGCTAGTATCCTTGAGACTCCAGTCACTTTCATACTTCTCATTCGCACGCAATGATTCTTCAAGAAAGTCTGCACTGGGGAAAGAATCCAAGACTCTCCGGACATGACAACCGTGCTTTGATACCCAATCAACCCCACTGCCAGAATCAAGAATCCTAGTCACAATCTGCTGGAGCCTGTCCCGACCTGAAACCTCTTGTCTCGTAGTTAGCTTACTTTCTTTTGTTGCAGGTATAACTAAGGCTTCTACTTCCGCGACTTCGACTTCATCGTCGACAGAAGAGTCGAGACAACCACAGAGAAATACAATCAAGTTAGTACTGGTAAGCCCAGAAATCCAAGAGGTTTCAAGCTCAAGCCCGAGATTGAACTTTTGATTGAGCCAGTCAAGGCAGAGTAGGGATAGGAGATGGTTTGACCTAAGAGATATCCGGTCTGGCGGAAGCAGGAACCTCAGCACACTCTTCAAGGCCAAATTGTCTGGATCGGCAGCTGGAGGAATCATTTCAGGAGACTTTGAATCCGTTCCCTCTACAGGGATATCCTAAAACCTTTTCAATGATCTGATATGCCCTATTAGCTGAGATGGCTGACCTCAGGTGATCTTGCTATAGGGTCATGTTGTTTTTGAACAGATGCTTCGCCTTGGCTTAAATCGGCCTTATATTCCGAGCTCTCGATCCCTATATTTATTTCCTTCATTTGATGCTCTTTCGTTCGAAGGGCTAGATCGATATCTCGGGATGGTCGTGCGAGGTTGACCCGCTAATGATGCGAAATAGTAGGATTCCTCTGGTAAAGATTGACTTCATGAAACTTTTTGTGTTTGTCGCATCTGAAGTTCTTGTACCTTCATGATCTTAACGAGATCTGGTTCGAACTTTTGATCGTCATCACATACGAATCCAGTTTTTCAAAGTTCCAATCAATTAAATCTCCTTCGGCAACTTCCACGAACTGGGAGCCAGTCCCCGCTGGCGCGAAATATCTGATGGACTCCTGTGGCCCAAAATCGACCTGTTCTACAAGCTGAACAGCATAAGGAACGGTGTCGGCCCGCACTGAGACTGAGTCCAGAATGGGAGAGGATTCAAGCTTGGTCCACTGCATGAAGGCTTCGAATTTGTCCTCGTGATCAAGCTTCTGTGGGCGGTACGGATTGATAGAGGGGCAACAGAATATCGAACTCATTGTGACGATGAGTATGTTCTGAGGTAGACAAGCTAAGGGGTTCCTTCACTCGAGTCCGATCTTCCTGAAGGTGAAGATCAAATAGTGTAGGTGCTGGTGGCGACTTTATTAGAGAGGGGCATTATGATGCCTCGTATTAAAACTCGTATTCCTGGGTATATGTGTATGGTATTGTTAAGGAGAGTTCTGGTCAGCTATTTAGACGCTCAAAGACCGTCTCGTAATTTATGACAGAAATAGCAGAAATGAACTGTTTAAAACGTTATAAGTCGCCCTCTGTTGGCTATTTGGCCCCTTCTCAAACTGCCCTGATTACTCCGTACATCACCACGCATCACATCACCTGAGCCAATAGCTCTGGAAAATCAATGGCTAATATTCATCGTCAGGGCCGGCAGTTTGTTGCTATGGCTTGGATATAAACATATTTATGTACTGTACTGAACGTCGTACTGAACGTGGCTTGTCGTCAAGGCGAACCATAATATATGCATGTGATGATAATGAGCAAAGACTCCGGTTTTACTCAGGAATGCGCACAACAGCCCGTCCCTCGATCTCAGATCGCCCCAGTCGCTGCAGGACATCATCGATGCAGTCGAATTCAAAGCACTCAATATGTGCTGTCACATCGCCTCTTACAGCCATCTCCATCAACTCTTCCATCTCCTTGGCGGTTCCGGCAGAGTTGCCAACAATTGTTAGTCCTGTTTCATGTCAGCATTTGTCGCGATTGATTGAGCTAGAAGAAAACAGTGACGAATATATATCACCTTTCACAATCATCTCAAATGGCGTCGCCGGTAACCTAAACGGCACACTTGGTATACCGACGCATACCAAAACACCCAAGCTGCGAAGCATTTTCATACTCTGCGTGTATGCTGGCTCATTATTGGCTGTGCAGATGACAGCATGCGCACCTAGCCCTGAGGTCAGAGCCTTCACTTCACGCTCTACGTCGTCTGTTTTGTAGTCTAGGAAGGCGTGGGCTCCTAGGGAAAGGCACAGCTGCTTTTTCTTCTCGCCGCTATGCTGGGTAAGCTTCAAAACACTGCGATGATACTGGCACCATACCTGTCAATTGCAATGACCCTGAGCCCCTTCTTAGCAGCAATCTGAACGCCCCTTATATGCCGTCAGCTTTAACTACCGGGAAGAAACACCTGCAGATGTGCATACATATGTCCTAGGCCTCCACCTGCTCCAGGAAGCACAATCCAATCTCCGGGTCGAGATTTGGTCTTCATAATCGAGGAGTACATAGCGATGCCCGCTGCGGTGAGATTAGCTTAGGTACTTCAAGATATGAGGCGGCCAGTTGTACACACCGCACAAGAGTGGTGCAGCTACGTCCGGTGCTAGCTCAGGAGGGATTATAGTTGCATGAATCGCAGGACTGACGACGTATTCTATTATCCAAACACTGGTCAGTAAACAGGTCCAGAGGCGAAAGATTAACGATACTCACGTTGAAATGTCCCTGGGACATTCTGCACTCAATTAACATAATCACACTAACAAGGCCAAATAGTATTTGCCTACCGCTCCAGCATTCTTCTGATACGGACACGCCGTATTATTGATAGCGCAAATCTCACACTCCAAACAGGAACTATACAGCCATCTGCATAAACCCTCAATCAAGGTCTGTCTCTGTATATCAATCGCCGTACGAACCGTATACCAACTCTTCGTCCCATCCACGTTTGCTCGTCGAGACCACTGCCCACTATGCGCATAACAGGTCAGGTATAGACAAATGCTATCAAGGCGATTGCATGAGACACTTACCTTTCACCACCTTTCCCACTCCTTCATGACCCGCTACATCCGTCAACATGGGGGTCTCCCCCCGCACGCTGTGGACATCCGAATGGCATACTCCGGAGTACTCGAGCTTGACTAGGACCTCTCCCTCAGTAGGTACAGGAATCGAACGGTCATTTATAATCTGTAATCTGGAAGTGGCATTTGCCCCAGAAGGTGGGAGAACAGCTGCGATTTGGGTTTGAGGAATAGCCATGTTGTATGTAGCAGTAAGTGAAGTGGTTGCGGAGATGCGGAGGGATGCTGGTGGGATGTTGCGGGGTAAATATACTGCTTTGGATACACAATATCAACATCAAAGTGACCGTTATAGACCAAGACACTGAAGAGGTGGTGCTGGTTCGCATCCGAGGAGTCTGACTTTTCTTGTGCAAATCAGATAGGACTCACAGGTACCTATGAATGGTTTATTTCCTCATCGTGCAAGATTATCTATCCGGAGGCTAATCCGAACCTATAGTTAACGAGTACTATCGGGACTGATACGCGCCTGGTGAGCGATAGGCTCGGAGTAGATAAGAAGATTGGAGATTGTAGTGTTGCTATCTACTTTCCGCCAGTCGCTCCGCGATACAATAACTAATCATGCTTGGCTGGGCGTTCTTCATGGCTCATTCTTCTGTTTAAACGGATCAGTCGTGAAAATCATATCTACAAGCTAGGCATGGAGTCAGATCAGTGTGCCCATATTATTGAAAAGACCAAATTATATATAAACTTCTTCAGGTTTAAATTCCGCTTTGATGACAATTCTAATATACATCTGGTGGCAGCTTTTACAATATCCTTTGGCTAAAGTCTTCACATCCCTGCAACAAGGCTGGACGAACCCTACAACTTCAACCTAATCATAACATAAGAGCGGCGTAAATCATTGCTGTAGAACACATCCAGTCATTTCGAATAATTATGATATTATACTAAGTGTGAAGGTTTCGATATCAAAAAGGTATACTGTATAAACGACATGAGCCCTGAACAGAGTTGCAAGAAAAAGATGGTGTAAAAGTGAGGATAAGTGAACGGCACCAAGGATGAACGAGGTAGTGTTCAGGAAGCAGCCGATCCCTACCACCTGGAAGCGAGAACATATATCCGAAGGAATCTATAAGATGGAACAATAACACCGTCGCTCATGCATTTTCAGACTGTAGAGTTTGCTGTAGATAATTGGTCAGCATTTATCCAAAGTGAAGTGAAAGGAGCTTGAGGTTGCACATACCACCAGCCAATCCATGCCTTCGTTAAGACCTTTACCGTCGATAGCAGAGCATGCGACGATGCTCCAGTTTCTATCCCGTAGCTCTCCCAGCTTGAGAGCCTCTGATATCTCGCCGGCACCTTTAGCGCCAGGCTGGTCCTGCTTATTGGCAAATACCAACAGCGCCGCATCACTAAGCTCCTCCTCATTCAGCATGGCCGCTAGTTCGTCGGCAGCCGTACTGAGACGTTCAATATCTGTGGAATCAATGACGAATATGACAGCAGCGGTGTTCGCATAGTAGCAGCGCCAGTAGGGCCGAATGGACGTTTGACCTCCGAGATCCTGGACGACAGCGGTACGTCAGTAACCCCAGTTACTCTCTCTCCTTGCCAAGGGGGCGTCCATAATAAAGTTGCAGCGTTTACTCACCCAGACATTGAAATTCAGGTTGCGATACGTCACCGATTCCACGTTGAAACCAATGGTTGGTATCGTAGTAACAACTTCACCAATCTATTCCTGGCACATCAATAACGGCCTCTAGCTGACAGTCGAGCAGCTCTGCAAGACTATACGCACCTTGAGTCTGTATAGAAGGGTTGTTTTTCCGGCGTTATCCTAGAGATGGGAGCGCGGGTTAGTATGAAGCTCGCTAGTAGCTGGATGCCTAGTGCCAAAACATGGATATACCTACCAAACCGAGGATGAGGATGCGAATCTCCTTCTTCGTCCAGAGGAAGGACCACATACGAGACAAGGAGCCTCCCATGTTGACAATTTTTAACAGCGACAGGAGCAGAGTAACACTTGGACAGAGGGGGGGCCGCGGAGTTGGACAAGAGAATGACGGACTAGCGAGAGATATTGCGGAGGGAGGGTTCGGGCGTCGAGCGGTGGCGGAGAGGATGCGGCGAACACGAAAAGGACTCGCTCCGAGCAGAGAGCACCAGCCAAGGGGATGTGAAGAGATGTAGCAGGTCAACGAAGGGTCGATTTAACGGAACTGAATAAAACACAGCTTGACACGAGACAAGGCCACGATCAAGAGCTGACTAAATGGCATGGAGGGATGGTTGGTGGCCATCATTGGCCCGCGGTCTCCTGCCGATCGGCCTGGCCCAAGCTCAAATCAACTAAGGATGGGCTTGGATGGGGATGCGGTTCACTACCGCTCGCTCGCCGGTGTTGGTTTCCCATCATTCACATTGTCGTCGGATTTCTGCCTCTCCTTCCCTCTCTCCCAGCCACGACACCTTTCGCTCCATCATCCCTCTTCACCTCTTCCCCACGCGCCACCTCACCGTTGGGATGCACCTGATCTGAATCCGAATCGACTCCTTCCGACATCCTTCGCGATCCGCTCGCGATTTGACCCGGTCAACTTTCTCTCACTCACACCCTACTCAGAGATTACCGGCTGCCGGTCTAGCAACACATCATGGTCGGAAAGAAGTCTGGAAAGGCTCTCCTTCGGGATGAAGGTACGTGTTCAGCGGTCCAATTATCGATTATGCCTTCTCTGCTAACACGCCTACTCAGGCCTGGAGCGGACCGATAACAATATGGAACTCTCCAGCTGGCCGCAGATTCCTCCTATCAATCAGAAGAACTACTACACGTACGTCGCTATACCTCTATCTTTGATACGCACTGTTACTACTACAGCTGCTGCTGCTGGGAATGCGCCCTCTATCATCCCACCTTCAACGCTGACAATCATTTCCTTCATAGAGACTATCTGAAGCGCGATGACCAGTATCTGGCGTTCAGACTACAGAATGAGGAGAATCGAAATCGTATGGCAAAAACGGCCAAGGACCGCGATCGTGCCCTAGCCATGGCAAAGGCCAACGACCTAGGGCTGCCAGAAGCAGATGCGGAAGATGGCGATACCAACATGGAAGATGCGGAGGACACTGCTACGGAAACAGTAGGCTCAAAGGTTATTGTTATCCACGTGGGTAGTCAAAACCTGCGAATTGGATTGGCCAGTGATGCTTTGCCTAAGACTGTGCCAATGGTGATTGCGCGGAAGGCTGCTTCCAGCGAGTCCGAAGACCAAGAGGAACCTTGTCCCAAGCGGCTGAAACTGGACGATGGTTCAACCATGGACCCGGAGAAGATGTTTGGCCCTGAGGTTTGTTTCTCGCCTACTCTAGCTCATTGTCTTGGCTTCTAACCCGTCACAGTTTGCTTCCCAGTATACGACGATGTCAGCGGAGCTCAAAACCCACATGCGACAGAACAAGCGTCGAACACTGCCAAACTCCAAGGAAATGGTCGTCAACTTCAACCGGAGGACCGTGCCAGAGACTATTTCAGAACACAACGATCCCATGCGCGTGGAATGGACCGAGATCCCTGACCCGGCACCCGAATACATCGTGGGACAAGCGGCCCTGAGGATACCCGATGATTCGAAGCCTCGCTATAAGCTTTACTGGCCAATAAGGCATGGCTGGTGCAATGAGCGAGATTATGATAATAAGCGGCTTCTCTTCCTTGACATCTCCCTCATCTTGGAGGATGCTTTCAAGACCCAACTGGGACTCACCAGCAAGAAGGATTGGCCTCAGTACTCTTGCGTCTTCGTTATCCCTGATATCTACGAAAAATCTTATGTCACCCAAGTACTCGAGTTGCTCATGAGAGAGTTCGCCTTTGCACGAGTTTGCTTCATCCAGGAAAGTCTAGCAGCTACGTTCGGCGCCGGATTCACCTCGGCTTGCGTCGTCGACATTGGCGCCCAGAAGACATCCATATGCTGCGTCGAGGAAGGCATGTGCGTTGAGAACTCTCGCGTGAACCTAAAGTTTGGCGGGTTGGATATCACTGAAGTGTTCATAAAAATGATGCTTTACGACAACTTCCCTTACTCAGATATCAACCTCTGGCGCCGATACGACTACCTGTTGGCAGAAGAGCTGAAAAGGAACGTTTGCACCATGAATGAAGCGAGTGTGTCGGTACAAGTTTTCGATTTCCATCTCCGCGTTGCTGGTCAGGATACCCGGAAGTACTCTTTCAAGGCTTACGACGAGGTTCATCTGGCGCCGATGGGCTACTTCCAGCCGACCATTTTCGATCACTCGCAGAAGCTCAAGGGACGCAGAAAGCTGATTGCCCGCTCGGTGGATATCTACGACGGACAGCCTAATGACCCGACATCGGCCGCCCAATCACTTATTCTTTCCAGCATCGCTCCCCCTCCCACTAACGGCCAGTTGAACGGTGATGCGCAGTCGAACAACGTGGACGTTCAGGCTACCCCCAGCCGGGCTCAGCAGTTCAATGCCCTTAGTCGCGTGCAAGAGCTTGAAGCAACTCCACAATCTTCAGTCGCTGGCTCCCCTGCGCCGGAAGCAGTCGGTACACCTCAGGCCGGCGCTGCTACCCCTGCCCCGAGCGGGCAAGGCCAGAGCACGTCGCAGCCCCGTGGGCCGACTGTTGAAGAGAGGGACGACATTCTCCCCGTATACCCTCTGGACAATGCGATCTTGACCTCTATCGCTCAGGCAGCTCGATCGGATGAGCGTAAAATGCGAGACTTCCTCGGCGGTATCATGGTGGTTGGAGGTGGAAGCTTGGTCAATGGATTCCACTCGTTCCTAGAGGAGCGTCTACAGGCTTTGCGACCAGCTTTCGCTAAGGAGATCATGATTGGCACACCGCCGCGAGACCTTGATCCGCAAGTTGTTGTCTGGAAGGGAGCGAGTGTCTTCGGCAAGTTAAGCGGAACGAATGATAGCTGGATCGGCCAGCTGGAATACGACCGACTGGGGCATAGGCTCATGGCATACAAGTGCATGTGGGCTTACTGATCTTCTGCCTTTCCCAGAGGGCTATGGCTATTCCTGATCTGAAAGGTGGTGTTGGTATGACACGGGAACACTGACACAAATCTTGTAACTCTATTGAATTTTAAGCTAGCTTTCTGTTTGATCCACACATATCCTGCAGCCTAGAGTTACAGGCATCAAATACGAATAATGACAAGTGAATGGAACATTCTGTAGTATGATACAAGATTCACGCCAACTTCCTTTTAGACTGCAATCCAACTATAACTGCCTGCATGCTCGGAGCATCCTTTCTCCGAACCTTCATTCACGTCGACTCACGCTAACTTTGCTAGTCAGGCGGTAAAATACTGCAGAAATGAGCCGGCCACCCCCATGTAAGTTTATCCTGCATCTTGATGCTCGCAACCGTGCATACTGTTTTGTCGGTGCTCACTGACTGCGTTATCGCCTCCTTAAGCTCCCAGGGAGTTTATAGTGACTCGTCGGCCCCGGAGAACTCCTGGTTATCTTGTGCCTACCTCTGAGATTCCCCCGCTTACCCTCCCAGAGCCACGTAAGTTTCAACGAGCTGTCGCCGCGCGCGCAAGTTGGGAGCTCCACTAAAGTGTGTTACAGTGTACAGATCACCTTCCTCTGACGACGCTGAACCAAAGGAATTGGTGCTCTCCGAGTTCCGAGCGAGCATGTCGAAATCCAAGGACAGCAGCTCCTCCGGGGGCTTTCACCAGGAGTACATTGCTTCTCTCCGCTACCGAAATGACCTGCCGCCTCCGGATATGCCCCCGAAGTTCCTCGATATCCCACATGAGGGCTTGGACCGTTTCTTGACCCCGGGATTTGCCTCCAATTTGGCTCGTCGCGAAGAACCTAACATTGATGTTGACGCGGAAGGTGGTATGCCAATCGACTTGGTCGGTATTCCCGGGCTTCACTTGGGTGATGAGAGCGGTATGTATTTCGGCTTGCATGATCTGATCTTTATTAAATTGGCGGCTGACAATTGTTGGAAATCCAGCGATTATGGCTCCTGAGAACCCGGAACCCATTGACCAGGCTGATTTGGCGCTTCTGATGACGCCGGAGCAGCTGAAGAACCCGGCACCGAAGAATACCAACGTCAGTTTCCTTCGCCGTACGCAGTATATTTCCGCCGGTCTTCGGGCGCCTGATGGCCCCAAGGTCGCTCCCATCCGGACGAAGCGCGGGATAGACAAGACCAAGTCGCAGGATGACCCGACCTACATCAAGAAATACCTCCAGAAAGGTTTCGATATTGCGTATCCTCACAGCAAGCACGTCGGTGAAGATACAGCTAGCAAGATTAAAGGCCACACTCCTACGAAAATTGAACACGATGCATGGGCCCACCCAGTGCACCCTGATAACCCTAAGCTGAAGCCTGTCGGATTCTATCCGCTCCTCCCCGATCTGGAAGGATTCCCGGACCCGGGTGGTTTTGTCCAATTCAAGTTTGACAAGGCGCCTGTTCAGGATGTTTCAGGGAAGCGAGACAAGCGCATGGATGTGGCTATACTGCTTCCATCGGCACCAGAGGAACGCGTTTGCCAAGAGCACAACACGAAGGCGGCCTTGTATAAGACGAACCCCAACCTGTACCCTGACCCAGGTCCTATCCCATGGGATTACGATCTCTATCTGCCTGAGAAGAAGGATGCGGCCAAGAATGTTTCGGCAAGTCTGCGCATCACCAACCCGGACCGCGATAACGAAGCGCTGTACACTCATGACGGAGCCGACAATACCAAGTTCCACCGCTTCGACCGTGTCCGCACCTACGCTACGAGCGCTCAGACTTTGGGCAACGACCAGAAGCAGAAGGACATTGCATTGACGCTCTTTGACCCGGAGGAAGTGAAGGATGGAAAGCGCGACGGTCTCGACTCAAGGCAAAGGGCCGCGTACTACTACCCCATCCTCGGAAAGACCCGTCTCAAGCCTGAGAGAGCCCGCACCATCGCTCAGGCCGGTCTGGCACCTACCCGTCCGAAGACCAAGGAGGATCAGGTCGATCAGATCCAAGTGGTGGTGCGCGATCCCGACGAGGCCGAAGTCTACAAGCGCTCTCTGCACAGGGCCGCCATTGACCCGAAGTTTGCCGAGTCGATGCCTCCACCCCCCGAGAATCCGGAGAACGATGCTGAACCTGCCAAGCAAGAGGAAGACGAGGGTGAGCACGACGTCGACCGTCAGGCCTCGCCTGAAGACGCGCATGACGATGCTGGCAATGATAGCGACGAGTAACTGGCTCAATCTCCTATCATATTGCATCCTCTATAGGCGCAATGACGGCGGCAGGCATGCCTTCCTGAGTGTAACTTTTGCCTATGCATTACGGTTTACATACCCTTTCATTTGTCATTATGCTAATGTTCCTTGGACTTGTTCACATTGCATGGCCGTCTCCGAAAGGGGTCCGCGTCGCCAGTCGCATTGATGGGCTGGTTGGCAGGTATCGGAGTCGAGGCAGCAAAAGGCGTTGTGTGGCATGATCATCTGGAGTTACGTAGCGAGAGTTTGGTTCTTTTTCATTGTTGCGGCCGTGCAAATGCACAGAAACAGGCTGCCCTGGCGATTGATGTACATCCCGTAAATACTAGTCAACAATCTATGATCCTGCACGAAGAACACGCTCCGTTTTGTCTGTCTTAAGTTTCTACGCTACACCGCCCGGTTTGTTGGTTCTGCCGGCTAAACACTTGACCGCCTCGGGACGTTGACGCAAAAGAACCGGATATTCAAGACGCTCGGAGCAACGTCCATCCACACCGGCAGCTTTGTCTTTGCTCGACCTGGCGGCGTAATTGCGGCATCTGTGGCTGCTATTTCGCTAGTTTGGTGGAATTGACCTGCAATTGACTGACATTGAATGGTGAGTCGCTGCCATGATCGATCGAATCGGCTGTTCTTCGGCATAGCAATTGTAGCAAGACATAGTCTTGACGAGCACATACTAGTGCTTCTCCAAGACCCAATTACGCTTGACTACCTACATACTATGCATCCTTTTGAACACACCTAAACTAACACCTTGCTAGGTCAATCGCCCTACCCCTCACAGTCACTATTACTAGACTCCGCCCCACCACAATGGCTACCAACGCAGTGGCTCTGGCCTGGAGATCCGCAGGCCGCAGAGCGCCTGCACTTCACACTCTTCGCGCTACTCAGCGGCCCTCGATCCTCCACCGGGAGTCTCTCCTCCGTCAAGTCCGCTATTCCTCGGACGCAGCATCTCAGACCAAAGAAGCAGCCAAGGAGACCACCGCGCAGGTCACGGAAGCCGTGAAGGAAGCTCCCAAGAAGACCGGCCGCAAGCTCAAGCGCACCGTCTGGGGCACCTCTCTGGCCCTGACCCTCCTCGCCGGATTCATCTACGGAACGGACACCCGCGCCAGCGTGCACCGGTACGGCGTGGTCCCTCTCGTCCGCCTGCTCTTCCCCGACGCCGAAGATGCGCACCACTTCGGCGTGGACATCCTGAAGACCCTCTACAAGTACGGTCTGAACCCGCGCGAGCGTGGCGACCCCGACAGCGATGGTGCTCTCCTAACTGAGGTATACTCCCCCTTCCCCATCCCTCCCGACCTCACCCCCCATACTCACCCACCACCGCAGGTCTTCGGCTACACCCTCTCCAACCCGATCGGCATCTCCGGCGGCCTCGACAAGCACGCCGACATCCCCGACCCTCTATTCGAACTCGGCCCCGCCATCGTCGAGGTCGGCGGCACCACCCCTCTCCCCCAAGAAGGCAACCCCCGCCCACGTGTCTTCCGCCTCCCGTCCCAGAACGCCATGATCAACCGCTACGGCCTTAACTCCAAGGGTGCCGACCACATGGCGGCAGTCCTTGAACAGCGCGTGCGCGACTACGCCTACGCGCACGGGTTCGGCGAGCACGAATTGGCCGAACAACGGGTCCTGAACGGCGAAGCCGGCGTGCCTCCAGGAAGTCTCCGCGAGGGCAAGCTGCTCGCCGTGCAAGTCGCCAAGAACAAACTCACGCCGGACAACGACATCGAAGCCATCAAGCGCGACTACGTCTACTGCGTTGACCGTCTCGCTAAGTACGCCGATATCCTGGTCGTCAACGTCTCCAGCCCGAACACCCCTGGTCTTCGCGACTTGCAAGCCACGGCGCCTCTCACTGCTATTCTGAAGGCCGTTGTCGGCGCAGCAAAGAGCATCGATCGCAAGACCAAGCCCTTCGTTATGGTCAAGGTTAGTCCGGACGAGGACGCAGACGAGCAAGTCTCCGGTATCTGTGACGCGGTGTGGGGGTCCGGTGTTGATGGTGTGATCGTGGGTAACACCACGAATCGTCGTCCGGAGCCGTTGCCGAAGGGGTTCACTCTTCCGCCCAAGGAGCAGGATGTCCTGAAGGAGACAGGCGGGTTCTCTGGGCCGCAGTTGTTTGATCGTACGGTAAAGCTGGTGGCGAAGTATAAGAGTTTGTTGGATGCTAGTGCTCCTGCTGCTTCTGCTGCTGCGCCTAAGGCGATTGAGGCGGCGGAGCCGGATGTGGAGAATGTGCCTCCTACTGTGAGTGAGGCTGTCGAGGGGTTGCCTGCTAGGAAGGTTATCTTTGCGTCTGGGGGTGTGACGAACGGAGCGCAGGCGAGGAAGGTCCTTGATGCGGGAGCTTCGGTTGCGATGATGTATACGGCTATTACGTATGGGGGGTTGGGGACGGTGACGAGGGTGAAGGAGGAGATGAAGGAGAAGAAGTAGAAGGGGAGGTAAGTTGGTAGCTAAGTACTAGATGTGTGAGTTCTAAAAGGAGCGACCGGGTTGACTGGGATGGGTGGTATTTTAGGAGGTAGGCGTAGATTAGGAAGGACGTGATATTGTAAATAGAAGAATAAGAGTATTTCATCATTCTAATGCTATTGACACGATATAATTTCATGGAGCCTATTTAGTTCTGAGTTATTATGGCATAGTATCGAAATATACTGTTTAGCTGAAGGTAGGTAAAGAAAATGGTTTGCTGTAACTGTTCCTGTTAGTCCATCAATGTTGCAAGTCAGTAGAAGTAGGGTAAGTCCTCCAGACGAACGATAGCTTCAACTGCCGTAAAGGTTAGTCACTATAGTTAGTATTTCTGAGCCAATACCTAGCTGCTGCTGCATCAAGTTAGCTCCCTGGCTAGGTAGCTATGCAGCGGATGACGTGAACGACCCTGTGCCTTGATAATCTGGCAGCCATTAGTGCCTCTACCCTGAGGCGCATGAATGCCACATCATCATCATCCTCATCATCAGTCTATTCATTCTCATACGACAGCCATTAACAGCACACCAAGCCCCTGACTCCTAAACCCTCACCGAAAATAGACCACCTTCAGCCCCTTCCAGGATCTAGACCGAGCTCGCACACGTTGCTTGCCAATTCAAGCTTCCCAAATATATTTAGATTTAAACTACCGACCGGTTTGGCAGTAAGCGATCAGATAAAGTGGGCCCCCTGGTCGGGTCAGGTGGCCGCAAATGTCACACGTGCAGCGGAATGGAGGGGAAGACAAGCTGGTCATGCAGCCCGCCGAAATTTTCTTCAACCTCACGCGGACTCGAGCGGGCAGGAATCCATCTGGGCCCAGATCGCTGGGAGCGGAGATCCCGCAAGCTTCGAGAAGCTCTTCACCGACTCGGTTGTGATCCACAGTCATCCATGAATCCCTCTCACTCGGGAGATGGATCAAGTCGGCATTGCCTGTTTCGAAATCCCATTCCTCCATGGAAGGAAATGAAGGCTTAAACGATGAATACTGCTCGGGTTTGCCTGAACAGGATACCCGACGATGGTGGATATCACACAAAGGTCTTGGAAAGGGGCTGCTAGCAGTCTAAAAATTTTCTGTTCTTCCGCGTGATGCCCATTCTTCCCCCACATCTAGCAGTAGTAGACACTAGTAGTGTGGTTCATGATGTACTATGTTTGGTTTGGTGTTTTGGTATCGTCCGAGAGCGTAACCCGAGCCTGCATCTGCCGGAGCAGCAGACCGATGATCAAGCCAACGTCTCTTCAACCTCCCTGACCACCTTGCGGACCCCGTCGACTTCGTGGGCGAATCGGCCCAGGAACATGCCGTCGACGGCCTTCCCCAGACCGCCCGGGCCCCACAGCCCCGGTCCGGCACTTCCCCCGTACAAGATCCGGACGTCCCCCACGCGGGTGCCAATCACCGCCTTGATGCCCTCGACCACCGCCGATATGTGATCTACACCCGCCGGAGCGGGCTTCCCAATTGCCCATACTGGTTCGTATGCAAAGATGACTGGTGCCTCCGCCGGGATGGCCTGGAGTACAGCCCGAATCTGGACCTCGCATTCGCTGACGGCCTGTCCAATGGCTTGCGAGGCTACGGGGCCAGGAGCGGTGACCTCTCCAATGCAAACCAGCGGAACCATACCTTGTGCGCATGCAGCGGCAGCTTTGAGGCCAGTCTGGTCATCTGTCTCACCAAAGATGGCGCGGCGTTCTGCGTGGCCAAGTTCGACAATGGACACCCCCATCGAGCGGAGCGCCAGCGGCGAGACTTCTCCGGTGTAGGCGCCGAGGGGCTCCCAGAAGCAATCCTGAGCCCCAAGCAGGAATGGAGCCGGCAGTGAAGGGGTGTCATCCTTTGGTAGAGTGGATTCCCATGCCTTGATGATATCCGCACAGGGGTAGATAGTCAGAAAGTCGGGGATGAGGGCCAGCAACAGCTTGGAGCGGTTCTCCGGGCGGACAATATCATTTTTGGGGTCGAGCAGGGCCCGGCAGTAGTCGAGCGTACGGGTGGGTGTGAAGTACATCTTCAACGAGATGATGAGCAGGTTCTTTGGGAGAACCGGATAGGCTTGCTGGGACGCCATATTGGGTGGTTTCAGGCACCGGTGTGATGAAGGGATGGAACCGGTGAATGACGGTCTTCGAAAGTAATTCCCTTGCAATCAGAACACGATCAATCGGTCTCCACTGATATAGACTGGCGAACGAGGTTAGTTGTCTGAAACCTGAGACTACTAAACTCCACTATGATAATGAGGGCACCCACTCGAGCGTAGAGTAGTGTGTTGATGGGGAAGGATATTGTGTGACGGCTGCTGGGTCTGAGATTCGATCGAAAGCGTTAGAATCGAGAGAGGCTGGATTAGCGTAACAGAATAGCTCAGGAGGAGACAAGGGAGGGTAAAGAGGGGCGGTGCCAATTAGTCGACCACGGAATTAGTAGCCATGCTGTGCCGCGGACGATTTCATTGGGGCCTAGTTTAGCATGCAACCGGTTCTCCCTTCGCAGTTTAGTGTTGGGAGGGAAGAAGAGGAGACACGATGATCGGCCCACGCGAGGTGCATCTGCCATCTCCATCCGCTGAGGTCAGCACCGCCGTGGGAAACCTGGGGAATGGCGGGTGATTTAGTGTGGGTATTCTAAGAACCTTGATACTCTATCAGATGTTGTCGGAAATGGGTAAATTAACAGTAGGGGAGGAAGAAAGTACGAGGGGTGCAAGCCACTCTGCACATTAGAAAGAGGCTTGAATGAGAAGGTGGGAATAACGCGAGTCGGGCGAGGGAACCAAAACACACGCAAGAATCTCGGCTTGCAGGACAGCAGAGCCTGCCTGATTGAGACATACGTAGTAGAATGGAAAGATACAGAATCGACCGGAAATGAAGTTGTTCCCAAAGACAGCTTCCGACTGGTCCGCTTAGACCTCATCGGTTTCCGTGATACAGTAAGTTACCCGGGGGTCTCTGGATCCCCTGGAAACGGTATGACTTGTCACTTTCCATCGATCGGACGTCAGCGGGCCACCAATAATAGCCAAAGTCCTATCAGAAGCCAGTAAAACACTAGTCGAGTGGGGATGGTGGGAAGTGGTGGGGCGTGCAGTTGTAACCTCGTTTGGACTTCCGAGAGCCCAGCCTGGACTGTTTTGAGTATCTTGCAAAGAACAACATTACTCGAGGTATGTATGGTCTGTATTAATCGCTCAAAAGAGACAACCTTTAGGGGTTGGTGAGAGAACAAGGCAGAGCAACAGCCAAAAATTGGTGAACCTCAAATTTGGACGTTGGAACGCGTCAACGGCGCAAACTGAACTACCACCATTTGAAAGTCAACCCGCCTAATTGCACTTACTTACTTAGGAGGAGTTAGTTCTATTCCCTTCAGTGAACTGATTTGGTTTGGATTAGACTATCTGTAACGGGCCAACAACCATGCGCTTTGATACGGACGGGATCCTCCACTTGCTGTTCGCTGCCTGCCTTGGCCCGTCGACCCCAGAATAATCCTGCGACAACAACGGCAATAGTTAGTATACAGGATGGTAGAAAGGCTGAGATTGAGCCTCCTACGGGCATGCCACATGAGCCATTTCCAGACCAACGCACTTATTCTTTGACTTGTTATTCTGGTAACAAGGGGACTATACATGCCGTTGCTGTTGCTGTAAGTTCAGTATCCTATCTTCGTCCAAGATAGTCTACTACCAAACCTCAAGTCTATCACAGAATCGATTGCAACTCACTCCGAGCTAAGGTGCCTCGGAACCAATACAACACCGATGCTATCCCGGATGAGCCCACACTCATTCCCGCCCCCTCTTCTTCATTTCGGTATACTTCTATGTATTGGGCAGTTGCCCAGAGAAATCTGAATCCGCGCCAAAGAATGCCTGTATAGGCTTCCTGAATAGGCCAAGTAGGCCGATAATAGTGCGCGGGCATGCAGTTCCCCCTCTCCCCCAACCCAGTTAGCTTGGCCGCGGACCTGACCAGTTACCAAACTTCCAAGACAGCCAACAAGGGGGGGGGGGGTAAGGATGGAGGAGAATCCCGAGGCAATCTGGAGTCGGTTCCGAATGACGATGCAACAGAACCGAAAAGGGAAGACAGAAAAGGAGGAGAACAAAGGGCGGGCTGACATCATTCGGCTGAGCGGGATGGAACTATTCCCGGTGAACGTAGAGATTAAGTCGGAAGAGAGGATATCACAGTAACAGTATTCAGTAGATGATAGTCCCGTACTGGTAGACAGTCATGCCAGTATGGCTGTCACTGGCTGAATATCCTCCTAATCTGTCCGAAAGGGTTCACCAATCCGGGCTCAATGCTATTGGTTCCGCTTGCAGGCAGTCGCAGCAAAACAACCTTTGAGAAGTGTAAGAATGCATGACGCCATGAGTGGATCTGCCAGAACCAAACATGGTCCGGCCCAAAACCGGCTTCTCTGGATCGCCTCTAGCTGTGGGGGGTGCGCAACTAGTGTCTATCGCTGCTGTCGCGCATGAAGCACGAGAAAAAAATAAAGCATGAGGGATAATCAGTGCTGGTTCGTAACGGCCATTGGGACATGCGTGTCACCAAAAACCGAATTGGCGTCTACCACCGAACTTTGGGTCCAGGAGGCACGGCACAGCCTTTCACTCCCCACTGCATCGGACCTTTCGATCGGAAAGTACTTTGGAGAATGGAGGGGAACAATAGGAGGGGAGAGGGAGAAGGTGAGCTGGACAAAAAGGTATAAAAAGGTCCTTGTCTTCCATTCTCAACCCTCTCTTTCATCACTATTCCATCATCATTCCTATCTACTTCAAGCCACAGTCACTTGTCTGGGACTTCACGCTCCACTCACTATCAATACTTCCTTGAAATCATCTACTTCCACACATTTCACCATGTCTGCCGATCTGAAGCCCCTCCGCATCGTCATGGCCTGCGATGAGGCCGGCCAGCCCTACAAGGAGACCCTGAAGGCTGCTCTTGAGAAGAACCCTCTGGTTGAGTCCATCCAAGATGTGGGCGTCAACTCCACCTCCGACAAGACTGCTTACCCTCACCCGGCTGTCGCTGGTGCCAAACTCATCAAGGAGGGCAAGGCAGACCGTGGTCTCTTCATCTGCGGTACTGGTCTCGGTGTCGCTATCTCCGCCAACAAGGTGCCCGGCATTCGCGCCGTGACAGCACACGACTCCTTCTCCGTCGAGCGCTCCATCCTTAGCAACGACGCCCAGGTGCTCTGCTTTGGCCAGCGCGTTATTGGCATTGAGCTTGCGAAGAAGCTCGCCAACGAGTGGGTGACCTACCGCTTCGACCCCAAGAGTGCCTCCGCCGCCAAGGTGCAGGCCATCTCCGACTACGAGAAGGAACTCGCCGGTACTGCTTAAGATTGGATCGTTCTGTCAGTCAGTCAACCCAGTCAAATCCAGTACTACGATGTTCCTTGTCCGTGCGGCATGACATGAACACCAGCCACACCGAAGTGGCAGCGGCAGCGCCATAATCTCCGGCGTGTTACTATAAACTATAGCTTCCTTTCACCACTTTTTTTTTTGAGCGAAGCGATCTGGTACGGCTGGATCCGGGCCTTTCCCTTCTAATATCCGACGAGTCAACGATACCACGAGTGTACGGAATGATTTGGCCGGCCAATCTTTCATTAGAGCAGTAGGTAGAGAATATACTACAAATTGCTCCAAATGTCTTCTATTTTGTATAATGTTGTGAATATCGTCAAGATTCATTGTAGTCAATCAAGTAACTTCACCACCAATCCAGTATGGCAATTGCTAACTCTCTCCCCAACATTTGCTGCCCACTCACAACTGCTGACTCATCTGGATTCTGCGGGGATCGATCACCTTCGATTGCTCAACCCACGTCGTTTTCCACTGCACAGGAACAGGCATAAAATCGAACATTCAATTGATAAGAATGGAGAACCCAACGTGCCGTCCCGACACCAGGGCTGTGTGGATCACGACTGAAAGCTCACCCGAGCTCATCAATTTCATTCCTGACTGAACCTCCCACAAGGATCTCAGGTCCCAAGAGGGGTAGCTGAACAGCAGTACTGCTTATCCGGATACTTATACTGGTGGATTGACCAGGATCTCCATGCTCTCACAGCATCAATCCTCCATTGCTACTATCATCAATCATCCCACTGCATTGAAATCCACTCCACATCCACTATCCGCTAGACAGAACGGATAGAATCCCTAGCACATCCAGTCACCATCTACTTCCCTCAACAACAGTGGAGATCACTGCGCAGCCCCACACATCCGACATCCGAAGCGCTGTTTCTTCGTTCGTTCCTTCGTTCGAGCTTTTCCAGCTGACAAAACACAAATCGTCACGGAAACAAAAAAAAGGGGAGAGTCCCGTTGTCATTTACAGCACAAATCAGTGGGCGCACACAACACATCAGCGCACACCACACCACACCTTACATCATAGAAAACATGGCACTCGAACTAAAAGAAAAGGGCAACCAGCTCTTCAAAGAAGGCGATTACAATGGCGCCGAGGAGATGTATTCACAAGCGTGAGCACATATATCCCACTTACCCCGCTCCAAGCCCCCAACGCCAATAAATCTAAAGACTCCTGCTAAAAACCAATGAATATCTACAACAAATAGAATCCTCAAGAATCCCAAAGAACCCACCTTCTTCTCCAACCGCGCCCTGACCCGCATCCGACTCGAAAACTGGGCCGGAGTCGAGCACGACGCCCGCGCCGCCATCGATCTCTACGGCGCCAAATCCCCCACCAGTTTAAAATCCTCCTGGTACCTGGCTCAAGCGCTGTTGGGCCTGCAACGGCCTCAGGAAGCATATGACGTAGCCATTGAGGCGTATAAGGCGAGTCTGGCGGCGAAGAACATCCAGACGGAGAATTTGTCGCGGACGGTGTTGCGCGCTAAGCAGGCGATTTGGGCGGCCAAGGAGACGGCGCGGATAAGGGAGTTGGATGAGACGTTGGCGAGTGTGGAGGGGCTGATTGAGGCGGAGGTGGAGAGGGGAGTGTCGGAGTTGAAGGCGCGGTTGGAGAAGGGGGAGATTGGGGATATTGGGTTTAGGGAGGATGAGAGGGAGATTAGAGAGGATGCTGAACGGAAGGTGCAGAGGGTGAGGGAGGTGTTTGGGATTGCGTCGGAGGGGAAGGTGGCTGAGAGGGTCAGTTCTGAAGTTCCTAATGCGAGTTGCTGGTGGGTTGTGCTAATGATATGGTGTAGGTTGTGCCTGATTATCTGGTGGATGGAATTACGTTTGAGATTATGCACGATCCTGTTATTACACCTTCTGGGACCAGCTTTGACCGGGTCGGCATCACCAAGTACGTGGAGCAGGCCAAGGTTGATCCTATTACGCGGGTGCCGATGACAGTGAACGATCTTCGGCCGAATTATGCGCTGAAGGCAGCGTGTGAGGAATTCCTGGATAAGAATGGGTGGGCGGTGGATTGGTGATTGATTGCGCAAATAGTATGATTAGCATGGCGTTGGTAGTAGACTACTTGATACCATTTAAAGGGCATATGCTTGTATACTATGTTTTAGAGTAATACAGTGTATACTAGTTATTCCATATTTCATTTAACAGATGATGAATTACTGTACGTGTTTGTGTATGCGTAGTCTTCCTAGTTGAAAGGTCACCTTTCATATATCCATATTGACTGCCAGTCTTCGTCTGTTCCAAGCCTAACATGCTGTGTCAACGCCAGACAGGCAGTAGTCACTATTATTTGTACCTCTTCCTTGAATTTCTCATAACTACTAGTACTCGAGGTTGTCACACCCACATAACAAATTACTTTGGTATTGATACTGATAAATACTTATGTCTCTCACGAACAACGCAAGATATTAAGCGCCCCACCAATCAAAAGGAAACACCCCGTAATCAAGACCTGCGCTTTACCATCCTGCTGTGCACTGATACTCCTTGCTGTGTCTATTGCTTCTGCTTCTTCAATGGTGTCCCTAGTCGAGATTGAACTCGTGCCTTGAGGAACGGTAGCTTTCCATTTTTCAAGCGAACAAAGATAGCACGCTGAGATCTGGGAGGGTGGTGGGGATTATATATCTTTCATTATATTATATCTTTAGTTTGTGAGAAACAATGTAGGGAAGTGATTATGATCCTCACCTCTATTCATCTTTTCAATTTGAAATTTGTCTGCTCCCGTTCAACGTAAGTAGTGAAGATAACATGATCTAGTAGTGCGTCTTGCTCAACAAGAGATCCTGCTAGGCATTCTAGAAGAGCTAGGCCGTCTCGGTCTTTCGAGAAGTGGCTAAATATCAGGATTCGGTGTCTGTAGTTTACTTAGATTGGTTGATCGGTTACTTTCAATACTTCGTAAGGGATAGGGAATATATACTGACCTTTGCTCCGCAGACCTCTTGGTAATATCTGAGTACCACTCCGCCGTTTTCTCAAGACTAAGTGTGTTATGTGCGCCGTCTACGAACCATTGTGATTGTCCGTCTGGGTCATCGATGATCTCGAATCTTCCGATTAGGGTGATATTTCTCATAGCGGTAGGTATGTCCTCTGGCTTGATTACATGATAGGGTGCTTTTGCCTTCAAGAACGTCCTGGCTAGTTCGATAGCTAGGGAATAATTTAGTCGCTGGACGGGACTACCCAATACACTACTGTCAGTAGGGAGATTAGGGTTCAGCGGGACGATAGTCAATGAAGTATGCTTCTCCGCGGCACGAGCGTGCAATACCTCAGACGGACTATCGTCCTGCGGAACAGATAATGCAGGTGCACCGGGTTTGAATATTACCGATTTATGCCATGCAATGGATTCGACTGTAGGGCCGAGCTGGTCAAGGTGGTCCAGTCGTAGGGAAGTGATGCCTGTGACCACGGGGTTCTGGATGACGTTCGTAGCGTCGAATTCGCCACCCTGGTGGACTTCGATAATTACAGCGTCGACGTTCTCTCGGATGAAGGTGTGGAAAGCGAGCAGGGCGAGAAATTGCAGGTAGCGAGGTGGCTGCTGTGTTGTGTCTGCGTTTGGGATGTTGGTATTCAAAAGCGTATCCCAGACTTCGAAGAATTATTTTGTGAATAGGTTCTCAGTGATGGGGTTGTTGTTAATTTGGATTCTTTCTCGGATGCATTGTATATGAGGTGATGTGTAGAGACCGATTTTTACTGGGGAAGCCGGTTCTCAGCCCATGTGCATGGAGAATAGAGCAGGTGAACTCGCATGTGCTGCCTTTGCCTTTTGTTCCGGTGATGTGGATTATGTTTAGGCCAGATATATCGGTGTCCTGTATCTATTAAGTAAACCCATTCTCTCTGAGACAAGTAGAGAATCTACCGAATGTCCGAGAGTCTGTAGCCACTCTCTCATTCCATATAGACATGGAATACCTCGCACAGTTGTAGTGAGATTTGTTGGGCTTTTCTCTGTCTGTAGAGAATAATTCGCCTTTGGTCGGGCGCGACATCTGCGCGTTTCCAGGAGACTGAGGGCATCCTGCTGCGAAATTAGAAGCAGTAAATGAATTCAAGATGGCAAACAGCATACCTCGTAAGTACGAGTTATTTGGTCCTTGGAATCGACAGCCAACATTGGAATGTACTTTTCTCAATCATTGGGGCTGTTCTTTGACTATGTCGAGCGTATGTCCGAGTTCGCTGTTTCATGAAGTCATCCATAAACAGCTGGGGGTTATCGAGAGTGACGTTGCATCCAGACAAGGCGAGTCCGCGGAGGTATTTAGTGAGCTTTGTCCGGAACTTCACAAGGACATCTAGATAATGATTAGTGAAATATCAAGCATTGAATCAAGGATCTCTTATTTAGTCCGCAGAGCAACTGGCATAATGCTCCATTACTCCTGGTGATCTGGCTGGAGTGCATCGAGAGATACCGTTCCACCACGAAGACGAACATAAGAATGACAGAACAAAGACAAGAGATGCTGTATGGGGCTAGAAATTCTGCTATAAATCGACTAAATCAATCATGACAGCAAGAAAGACCCTCAATGCTAAGCTCTATAGCTGATATGCACCAAAGCTCCCATCCATAACATATCCAGAAACCCTGGCACTCAACAGTTGAGCCAACAACATCCCTTCAAGTAACCACCAAAACCAAATTAACAAATCAGACAATAACCACATAAAAACAAAATCCCATACTATTGCAATGATCAGCAAATAGTCAAATAACACTCAGTGGTATAAGTCAATAACTAAGTAAGTAGTCACCTGAGAAAGTAATCTAACCAATAACCCGCCGAGTACAGCTCCCCCACCAAATCAACAAATCCCCCCACTTTCCCTCAACTCACTCATTCTTCTTCCCCTCTTCATCCGCCATATTTACCTACTAGCCCTCCAACCCCAACTACCAACTTCCTCCAAACCAAACTCCATCAACTCCTCCCCTTCAAAACAAACCCACACAGCCAAAATGTCCGTCCCCAACTTCTCCGCCGCCCTCGACGCCTCCATCAAGAAGGAGAAGTTCACCCCCGAGGTCCAGGCCGCCGCTGCCAAGGTCGACAGCTCCGCCTTCTTCGCCGCCATCGAGACCGTCCTTGGTGGTGATGACACCGCCACCGTTGAGGGCGAGCTGGCTGTTGCCCTGAAGAACGCTTTCGAGTTTGCTGTTGCTGTCGTCAAGATGCTGAACTCGGAGCCTGGTAACGAGGATAAGTTGGCGGTGAGTATTCCCTCCGACCCCTTCCCCCCTCCCAATCTATGGATCGAAATCTTTTGATGAAGGGGAATGAATTTGTGCATGATGAGGTCGAGAAGGCATATGCTAATGTTTTTTGTCTGTGGATAGCTCTACAAGTACTTCAAGCGCGCCAACAACCAGACTCCTGCTTCTCCTGGCATGTTCGATATCCAGGTATGGATCTACTTCTCTTTTCTCTCCTTCCCACTGTCCAAGTGTGAGACTAATATATCTGGTATGATGGTATAGGGCAAGTACAAGTACAACGCATGGAAGGAAATCAAGGACATCAGCGAGGCCAAGGCCCAGGCCGAGTACATCAAGCAGGTTGACACTCTGATTGGAACGATTGGAACGAGGGAGTAGATTATTATAATAAACCTACAAGATCATATACTATGAAAGGGGTATCATGTGGTGGATGCATTGTCTATTAGCAAGATGAGATGAGTTATGAGCTACTTACTACTCAACTAACTTACTGGCTATTGAGCTGCTTGCATAGTCATTGTTGATTCATGAGATCTAATTATTGGTATGGGTGGTATATGGATAACGATGAGGATAGTATGGGGTTAACTCTCCCACGTCTGTCCCAGCCAGTCCGGCTCGCTATGACTAGCCGTAGCGCACCAGGGTATATCCGTCTCGCTGTACTTCGTCAACGGTAGGTCGTAGGGCATTCGAAAGCCAACTGTGGTTGTAGTAGCAACTTCCTTTCCATCTGCATTTGCAGCCGCACCTGCAGCCGCAACCGCATCTGCATCAGGCACATCTTTTCGGAAGCAAGGCACCATCATACTCCTCCCTTCAGCTCCGGCGACTAATTCCGGCCAAACCACAACCCCTATCTCCCAACTACATATTCTTACCTCCCCGTTAGCATTCACCGCCGCTCCCCATGCCTGCGTTGACAAATTCGCCGACGTCACCATCGCCCAATCAATCCGGTCCATCTCCGACGATGAATACCGGATATACGTCTTGATGTGCGGTGCTGCGCGACGACGCCCTGCTTCCCGTTTCACCTTCACCTCGTCCTCTGCAACATCCCCAGCCCAATGGCACAGATACGGCCGCATGTACTGCAGCTGTTTCTGTTGCGCTGCGCTTTGCAGCTTCATGTGAATGGAGCCGCCGGAGCCGTAGCCGTTCAAGGAGCGGCGAATCTCGTCGGGTGTGGGGAACATGATCGAGAATCCGGGTTTGGGGGGATTTAATAATGGGGATAGTGATGTAAAGAAGACGTCTTTAAGCCATTTGTCTGTTTGGCCGAGAGAGGCGACGGAGGATATCTATACCTCGTTAGTAGACTCAATAGGCAGTCCCAGTGATAGAATTCAACCTACCTGAGTTACAATATGCGGTCTATCCTCTGAAGGAGAAACAGGCACCGACCGCAATACATCCCTCAGAGCTAGCCATCCCCACAGCGTCTTCCGATTCGAATCAGTCGACTCCCGGATCTTCTGTTTCGAGGGAACACTAGCGACCAACGCCGCGCGGACAGCGCTGAAGTCGTGTTTCTCTAGCTGCGCGACAAGCGGACCGGTTTTCTTCGGTCCGTATTCTCTTAGATAAGATAGAAGATCACGTTTGAATCGTGTCCCGGGGGTAGCTATACTCTCACTCCCACTGCTATTGGAACATAATGGGAGAAGAGGCGATCGCCACACGGCCTGGCACATATTTGCCCAGTCGCCTGCGATCATGTTTGCTGTGTGGATGACCACTCTGTATTCATTCATTAGCTTCGTTAGACTCATAGGTGGAGAATGAGGATACATACTGAGCCAAATCATCATGTCTCAACAAGATCATCATCTTGGAATGATGCGTCCCGAACGCTTCAGGCATGTAGGCGGTTATTGCCTCGACGTTGGGGTGGCGCGTACATGCTTCCTATTCATATTATTAGCATCGTCTCCAATCTCAGTATCCAAATCATCTAAGTCAATGAAAAGAAAATAATGAAGACTGAAGACATACCTCAATCCTCTGACGATTCGGCGCATCTCTCTTCCACGAACCATGCACAACTTTCACCTTGACGAGCCGTCTCACATCCTCATCAAACTGGCTCATCAAAAAGTCCACGTCGAAGAGGTAGTTGAACTGCCAGCATTCGCGGATCAATGGATCGCCGAGAATGTCGCGCAGGCGGACAGTGTCGGTGTTGTGACCTGAGGAGGCGGGGAGGTCCCGGATGTGAGTTAGTTGAATGGGAGAGGGGATTATATTGTCCTTCTTTGTTTCTGTATCATTCTCCTTTTTCGTGGTCTGCGTGCTGGGTGATGCTGGGTGGGTGGCATTGTGTTGTGGTTGTGGCTGTGGCGGTGTTTTTGGTCCCTTGGAGCGGGAGAGTATTGGGGGTGTTATGGAGCGGTGCAGGGATGCTAGGGGGTGGTTGTTACTCTCATTTCTGCTGCTGTTGGTCCTTTGGGTAGAGTCATTGTCTGCATAGTCTGTGTTGGGGGACAGCTTGGCCCTTTTTGCCGGCCGGTCTGGTTCTTCCATGTTGCGGTTGAGGTGTGGTGAGAAGGTCGTGAGGGAGATGCGGTGGTGGCGGATAGCATACCGGTTACATCTGGATATCGCTAAACATCATACGGAGAATGCTTGCTTCACAACCACGAAATTATTCAGATCTATATATAACTATTACTACACTATTATACACTACACACTTTTACAAGTCTACCACATGAACCGCTGGATCTTTCCCGGTTCCTGGGGCCATTCAAACCCGCAGTACAGGAAGATGTATCCCGTCACTGCGTTGATCACCAAGAACCAATACGTCTCCAGGAACAGCGCCATGTTCGTGGCAACCTTCGCATTCAGCTCCTCAGTTGCATCGCGCGCCCGCTGCCGGTGCACGAGAGGCGTCGGCTGCGGTGGCAGATGCAGCCGCCACATCACCCACGGAATGATAAAGTAGCGCGGCTCGACGAGCGGCGCTGTAATGAGCGACAGCGCCGTGGCCGCCAGCCAGACAAGCACAAAGCTCACCTGCGGCGTGCCCTGATGCTGCTTCTGCCGGTGCGCAATGTGCTCCTGGATCTTGGCGTACGCATCGAACGACATCGGCTCCGGCTTGGGCGACTGCGCGGGCTTCTTTGCTGCCTTCCGACGTTCGGCCTTCTTCTGGCTGGGCTCTTTCTGAGGTACTGGCACTGGCTCCTGCTGAGGGGCTGCTGTCTGCGGGACACGCATCAACTGGGGAGGTGTGGAAATCGTCGAGAATCCAAAGGCGGAGATGACCATCCACGCACAGAGGAAGTACACCACGACAGCAGCATACTTGATAGCAGGGTGAATGCGCAGCAGGATACGGAAGACGTAGAAGACATAGTGACGGTTGTCGGCAAGGGTAAAAGGATGGACGATGGTGTTGAAGTGAACAACAGCCAGCATAACAGGAATAATAACAAGAGCCGTCAACAGCTTAGGAAGGCCCTTTTGCTTCTTCGGGAAGCCAAAGTCGATGAACTTGGGCAGAAGCGACTTCGGGAGAACCAAGTTGACGACCGGCGAGAGGAGGAGAGGCCAAGAGAAGAAGACGAAGTAGGGCCAGATGTAGAGCATCTGGGGCAGATGCAGCCCAGCAGTATGGTACTCCTTGTGTCCTGCAGCTGTCAGCCTAGCACTTAGAACACGACCAGTAGACCTACCGAGAACGACACCATCATTCCAGAGCACGAAGCCACCAAACCCGGCAAGTATGAGCAGGTACGGAATAGCAGAGCTAATCACCGAGCCGAGGTTGTTCAAGGCAACAACCACCAGCGAAATAGACGCCTTGAAGTAGTCTACTCCAGTCAGCAATACCATCAACACACCACAGAGACCATACTAACCTGCAATCGAAGCGTCCGAAA